TAAGCAATTTTTAAATAGCACCAGACTATTCAGAACACAGCAGTACTTTACACAGTTTCGAAATCAATTTCACATGATTTACAGCATGCACTTATTTATTAACCAAAGTGACTGGTTAATATAATACAGACTTCTATCCTTCTGAATCCTGATAGAGGTTGAGAAGTTTCCACTTTAACTCATGGTGTGCACTCCCAACACCCTACCAATAGACTACTGTTTGGTTATCTTCAAGTCCACCTCTGGGTACCAGAGAAACCTTAAATCCTGTTTTTCTAGCATAGCAAAGTAATAATTAAGGATGAAGGAGCTGTTTCACTTGCCCTTTTTTAGTCAGCTGTTCAGTGCAGACTGATTCATTCCAAGAAATCTGGCTCTTCAGAGGTAGGCTTTGCAAGGTTTAGGGGTAGAGCAGCCCTCTCAGGACTGACATTGTTTATGAACATTTTACTCAATTACTAACAGCTGCTCATCCTGAGCACAGTGGTGGCTCGTTCCACACGCATTCAGGAAGGTTTGTACACGTCCTGCTCGCATTCAGTTTGCTGCTTGTCATTAGTTAATGTCCTGCTTAAGGATGTTTCGCATCACCCGTTTGTGGAGCAGAAAAGCAGCACGCAAAGGGCAACACACTGCAAAGGGCATGAAGAGTCATAGGCAACCAGCTGGCACGCGTTACGAGGTTACTACCCAGGCTCAGCAGAGATGTCTGACCACATTCAAGCTCCTGAACCAATGCAAATCCAAAGTACAAAAGCACACTTAAGGAAGCCCATACAAGTAATTAACAATACAACAGACATGCTAAATAAACTAAAGAACTACTGGTATGGCAAATTGATACTGAACAACCAGAATGAGTTTATGAAGTGTCAGACGAGTGAAACAAAGTCTGTGAGTCTGTCAAGCTGATCTGCTGAGACAACTAATAGGCAAGTTGCTCCCTTCAGCAGCATGTATTGCCTCCATGCAACTTAGTGGCAGACATTTGGAATTTTGAAAACAAGTTTTCCAAGCATGCTCAGTCTCCCTTCAGCAACTTAGTTGTAGAAGTAGCTATAGAAGTAATGTATATTATCTAAACATGAAAGAAAGACTTTCTCTGGCTTTGCAGCCACTGATGTACTTAAGCACTTCAAAACTCTTACGCCATTCTGTACTTTCAGCATTTCTCCGATGGAAGTGTGTGAATTACATGTCCCCAAAATAAACTCTGAACTACATAAATAAATACAGCACTGTCACAAGCTCGCCCTCCTGTAGTCTCTCTTTTATAATACTTATCCCTTGTCTGTAAACATGATTGTTAGGACAAAAACATGTGAGGTCAGCAGCACCAAACAACTCTGAAATGCTATCAATTCTATGAAACATAACACAAGGAGTGCATCAGCTCCAATAATGTTCTTGGCATTTTCCTTTTAGTAACCACATTCAAGCTGAGGTTTTTTTTACTTATTAGAAAGGGGGCACTGCATTATAATGCAGAGAAAAGAAAGAAAAATAGGCAAACACAAAAAAACTGTCTTCTAAAAACAGTCTACACTTTAAAACCAATCTGTGACTTAAGCTGTTTAATTTGAAAGCACAGTTTAATAACATGGTGGGAAAGAACTGGTAACATTAGATGCACAGCTATATAATTTTAATTATATTTTAAAATCTAATGAAGTTACAGTAACTACCTCATATTAGAAATATTTTTTTTTTTAATTACTTGAGAAGGATACAAGCATCACAGCCAAAATACAAGAGCACAAATGTTGACACAAAGCTGCAGTCCTGAAACTCACCCAACAAGAACCGTGAGTTATTGCTCAGCACCTGTGGAGCAAAGCACCACTTCTGGGAATAACTGCATGTTCCCAGTTTTGCAATGAAGAGTTATTTCTTACTGTTTCTGGTATTAAAGCTAAGCATGCTCATATTTGCTGCACTGGGGTTTGCAAAAGTCCAGCTGTGGGAGTAAGCATGTATTAGTTGTTGCAGGTCTTTTTAAGAACAAGATTGAGCTTAACATTGAAGTGTTCAGGAATTCCTGAGCTTCTTTTTATATTCAGACCTGTCTTTCCAGGTCACCCCCCCACATTCAGCAAAATGAAAAGGTTAATACAATCACAGTAAATGTAATTTCCATCCTAACATCCTCATGTTACCCATTCTTTATGAACAGATTTAAATATCAGTGTTTCCCAAAGTTGTGGCATGGGGCTTATTCCGTAACTTTTGATAAAGAAGTCTACTTAAAATATAAAATTCTGACAAAAAAAGAAAAAGAAAGGCTGCAATCCCTACCCCCAAAACAATAGCACTATAGCTGCACACACTGAAACAGCAAGACCTGTCTTTACCTGCAAAAATAAAGGTCCCCAATAAAAAAGTTAAGCAAAAATAGCAGAAGACCTAATACAAAGGGCATTGAAATATTACAAATAACAACTCTCAGTGAAGTGGCAGCCAACTGAAATCAAAGCTCGTAAGAAAATCTTTCTTGTTAATCAGAAGCAACACGGAATCTCTTTCTGACCAGAAATGCAGAGAATAATCTAAACCAGCTCCAGCATACAGACAACTGCATCCTTTGACAAAACTTCAGCCTTTCAGATAACTGCTTACAAACTCAACATGCTACAAAGATGGTTTTTACTATGGAACAAATGAAGAATCTCTTATTTTTTTAAAATAAAAATACAAATAAAAATACTCCTCGCAGCCTATAAGTTTAGCCAAGACTGGAACACTGCAACAAGATCCTCTTCTTTAAGTGTCTTTTTAAAGCATGCCAAAGCCATTAGTTAGAAGGATAATCTAAATAAAGTCATTGTTAAAAAAATAAAACTACATCATACCATGCCTGAACAGCCAAAGAACTGGTCAGGGAGGAAGGATTATTTCCTGGCACAGTAATGTAGCAACAGACCAAATTCTCCCTCTCTTTTTATTATTGTATTAAGCCTTCACAATGTTTCACAAAAATAAAACTGAGGTTTGTAGCTCATCTGTTGAACAGATGATCATTTCTATAGAGCAGCAGGACTTTGTTTCTAGGCGTACAGTGCAAATATCAAAGTAAAAACTTACTTAGCAAGAAAAAGAAACTAAAGTCCAGTTTCTGGTTTTGTTCATCTACCAGGTGACCTCACCAAACCTGATACCTGAGCCTAATTATGCAGGTGCAATTAAGGATTCAGCTGCTTTGAAGGCAACTGAATTAACCAGCGTAAGCGAGATTGCTATCAGCCTACCTAAGCAAGACTGTACTAGAGCAGATCTGGGCTGGACATGTAATTTAATTCACACTCTGATTTCTGGATAAGCCTCAGACCTTCAGGATAATTACAGTGCATCAGAGACAATGCTCAGTGTCAGTTATAGCATTTAAGTTGTGTACTGTTTGTCTGACAGAGATGAAGCACTCAAATGTGAAGTTACCTTCCAGCTTCTCAAACCATCAGCTTCAACTTCAACTGTGTTCCACAACTCTTAAGGAATGACACTCTTAGTGAGAGGTTTTTTGCTTATACACAAGTATTTGAGCACTCAAGTTCTCTCTGACCCACAATTTTTCATTAGATAGAAACTTCTTCCTAACAGATGAGACTCTTGAGTTGGTAAAACAAACCCCTAACAGCTACACTATTATTAAACCTCTAGACCACACTGTACTATCTGTTGAGCTTCACCTTGAAATGCACTGGCAGAGTTAACGAATTCTGAAATAAGAATTCACTGATGATAGAAACTTGACAGAAAATTGAGAGGCACAGTGGAATACATAGCTGATCAGAAGCTGAAGTAAATATGCAGCACGAATTCAAGTCAGCAAACTCACATGAAATAAATAATGAAGTTGTGTCTTCTACATTTATAATGGTTTGGGCTGTTAACCACCAATACTGACTGCTCATAGCCAATTTTAGGACAACTGGCAATTGAAACAAAAATAGCAGCCATTGAAGTACTGATACCTTTGATCATGAAAAACATTATTATGATTAGCATCTTACGCCTATTTGCTCCAATCCCCTGAGATGGAAAATAAAACTGTAAACATTTTCAAAGTTATATGCCAAAAGACTTCTCACTATTAATCACACCCATTATACTTGAGGTTGTATTCTCAATTTCACTCTCATTAACTTGGTATGAAAACTGGCCCAAGCAAGGAAAAGTTGATGCTCTCGCACCACCACATTACTACCTTGGTACAAGCAATAGCAAGGAGAAAGCAGCTGTTGTCCTCAAACCAGAGGGCTAAGGAAAAAGAACAAGTCACAGATACGTTCACAGACAAAGTTATGGAAAGCAATGCAAGAATTTTAAGCCTACCACATGAGAAAGGTATATAGTCAGTCTAATGACAAACTTAAGACACAGCTCCCTGTTGGAAAACTCCTTGTTTCTCTGAAGTTAGGGAGAAAAGTCAGCTTATGGAAAAACTCTGGCAATTCTGGAGCAAAGAAGGGTACGGTGCTGCACAACTCAGATCTGGAGTGGGAGTTATATGTATTCACAGCCCAGGGAGATGGGAGAGAGAAGGCATCGCTCTCAGCAGGCAGTAATAACTGGGAAACAACCTTCAGCAGAAATCCAACATTAGGGCATGAGAAAGTACAATTTGGTACAGCTTAGGAGGCCTCTCTCTAATATAATCATCTGTAGTTTTGTAACAGCTGGGAGTGGTTGCTGTATAGAGATGCTGTCCAATAATCAACCTAAAGCATTCTCTTTCCACTTTACAAAGGACATTGTTTAGAGAACAAATACTGTTACAGACAGTAACAGCAAGACAATACCAACAGCTTGTATTGTTCTACACTTGTACTTCTAGCAACTAAACTCAATCAAAATCTTGAAGAGGTAAATAAAAGGTCTATTTTAAGGGAATTCTAGAATGAGTCATTGAATTTTCTCCACAAATTTTTCATCCAGAGAAGGAAGTTCATGTGCAAGTAGAAAAATGTGTTCTTTTAGAGCAACTGTGTAGTGGGGAAACTCACCGTGTCCAAGAACCGCGAGATTGTAACCGCACTTCCACTTGGATTTACGATACATAATCAAAAGCCACACTTGCAGAGGGAAAATGACCTGTTGATGATGGTGGCTGTCAACAATGGGTTCAGATCAGTTAGCTGCTAGTGCAGACAGGACAACATTTTTCAACACTGCGAGAGAAAGTCAGAGTGAGACCATATGGTTAAGCCCCATCCACATTAGCACCAAGCAGCTAGCATCAGCAATTGAGAACTGTCAGCTGGGAGAGGAGTGGTGAGAAGTATACCTGTTGCTCACAGCCACTGTAAAGAATGGTTTTGTAGAGATTTATCAATGTTAGTTCTGCATCTACTGGAATAAATGCACTTTGAGAAAATACAAACAGGTAATTGCACACAGCATGTCCTTGTGTCCAATCAGTAATCCTAGTGCAGAGCAACTCAAGTACTTAGTTGTTTAAAGTATTCAAGGAATTCAGATACCAGTTGGTTTCAGCATGCTCAAGAACATATTCTGGAATTATACGGGGTAAGTTTTACATTTGCAGAAGATTGACAGTTACAGGTAAGCACCAGACAAGTACTGTCAGCAGATACCCCAGCTGTATGCTACACAAGACCATGCAAAATAAAGGGATGAGATAACTGGCTTTAACTTCAAACTACTTTGAGTAGGGGGAGCGGGACTAGATGATCCCCAGAGTTCCCTTCCAAAACAAATTCTTATGATCATTGACAAGCCTGGCCACTAATGCAGAGGCACGAGCTTTCATGCAGAGACTGAAGCACTGAATCACACTACTATTATTTATCACCTACTCTCACAACCTGCAGGAATGCCTGCACTTAGTTGTTACGACTAACACAGAGCAGGAGCACATCCTGTAGTTAAGCAATTTTAAGACAGCATAAAATACCACTGCAAAAGCAGCAGTCCTGCCTATCACCCTGCATTTAGATGTAAGGTTTCTGCACAACCACATTTATCAACAGATTCACACCCCAGTCTGTTCCTCGGTTGGATTTACCTGGTTCCACACATGCATCTGATCATAGGCCAGGAACAGAGAGCTGGAACCACCTTTCCCATAGTAGACTTTGTGTTCATTTCCAGGAAAAAAGCAAAATCATGTATTTTTAAATGCATGGACTAATTAATAGTGAGATGTTAGAATCTGTTCCTGAGCAGTACTTAAAAGCTGTGTTTAATCTTGAAGAACAAGGGAACATAGCTACTCCTATTCTTAACTTTGGAGCTAATTCTGTTTTCTTTATAGTCACTCTTCTATTCAACTTACTTTGTCCATATAAGTAACAAAAGCTACATTCATCAGCAAAACACAGCTTAGTACAGCAATAATCTTATTAGCATACCAAGCTTATATGAAGGATATTTGAAAATTAAGCTTGAAAACAAGCACAGTAACAGCAATAAACTAAAAATTTCAAATTCTGACTCAATTACACGCAACATTATTCTGCCTTCATCAAGTTTAGTAATTTCCTGTACATTTCTCCATAGGACTATTTTCTATTACTTTTTGCTATGCTTAGGGGTCTAAGACTTGGGACAAATTGAGACAAGAAGAAGACAAGCACCATTAGTCTACTCCCTTTTGCAGCATAACGTTTCTCATAAGAACTGGTGCTACATCACCAAGATAAAAATGACCAAAGCACTTTTGGGAGGCAAAAATGAGGCGCGGTTTGTCTGCTAACATTAATGCAAGTTACTTCCATAACCAGTTGCTACAATAAAATGTGAGGTATACATTAACACATCTTAGGGTACATTTGCAAAAACTCTTCTACCAATAATTGTTTCAAATCAATCATCTGGTTACAGACCGGGAAAGCATCTTCTAGCACTGTAGAAACTGAATAAGGCCTCAGCAGAGGTTCCAGAACATGTGTGCCAAGTTGGAAGGGAGACAGGTGGAGGACAGAAAATGGGGTCTCTGAAGACTGTGGGATGGTACCTGAAGATTGTCAAAGCTGAAGTGATGCTTCTGAAGACTGATCACCACCCTTACGGAGTAAAGTCTGAACTATAAATTGTGGCTGAGGACTAGACAACTAAAGATAAACTTAAAACCCCACTCAATCCTTTGGCATAAGAGCTAGGCCGAAGAAAAACTGCTGAGTGCCATGGTTAAGCCTACAGTGAAGACCAACTAGGAACTCCCACTTACTTCAATTACAATAGTGACTATTAATATGGAGTGTAAAACTCCTTGTGATTTTAAGCGTCTGTATCAAGAGACACCTCTCTTCCCCACTTACATACATGTCTTTGAAGAGCTGAGCGACTTTAGTGACACTAGCAGAAGGTAAAGTTGCAAAGCAGAAACCACAACAGGCTATACCTTAATAGAAGGAAGCTCAGCAGGAGCAAAAGAGGCAAAGGGGGAAAACCCAGGCTTCACTGAGTGCCATGCTGTCCCACACCAGCACAATGGAGGGGAATCCTGCTCTACTCTGAGGGCTGTGAGCCACCTGGGCAGAAGCCATACTTTTGCACAGCTACTTGGCCCTGAGGGTTGAAAATAAAAGATGAACAGCCAAAATACAAGGCCAACAGACACAGCTCTCAGGCAGGGATCAGCAGACCTGCAGTATTATGAACACTGCAGCCCATGCTGGCTGGCTGTTTTGCACTATACCCTATCCTTTCCCTCAGCTATTTCCTTCCTTTCTTTGTCCACCTACCATAGCTCCTATTTGTGCTGTTTCTCACCCCTATCTCTTCCTTTTTTTGTCCCTACAGAGTCCAAGGTCTTAAAAGCAGGCTTCAATTCATACAGCCTACAAGCACTGCAAAATTAAAGTTTGCAATTTTTTGTATGTTTAGTTGATTGTAACATTAATTTCCCATCTCAGCTTTTTATTAAATTGCAGTTTCTTCAAAGACACTCAATGGACTGTGTTTATACTACTACCCATAGTCACAGTAGACCAGTCAGTATTAAAGACAAGAGTTCACAAATAATGTAGTGTGCTGATGTAGCTTCTATAAATGGAGAGTTTGGCCACTGCAGAGACGTCTGATCTACAGCTCTCACTCACATAAACAGTCTGCAGCCACACAAATAAAGACTGTCAAGATCCTTCCCCAAATTCCTGCAGGGAAAAGAAATTAAAATGATAGCAGATTGGATGGAACAGTTCTAAGAAAAATCAATAATGGTAGCTGTAAAATCTAAAATTAACATAAGTCTGGTTTTGATGCTTTCAGTACAAACAGTACATTAAATTTGGCATAAGCCCAATGGAACATGAAGTTCTTGTGGACAATGTCTGCCAAGAGCTAGAAATATAGCACTTAAGTCTTTAAAGAACAATCAGAGAGGCACAGACCATTTCTACTTTATGCATCTGAAAAAAAATTAAATCAAGGTGATCTTTCTGAGGGAACATTTGTATTAAATCTAATTGGTGTGCTTTGTGCAATACTGAATTGAGTGAATGCCAACCGGCAGAGAATCAGTATTTGTCATTTTATAATCCATCCCACTTGTGACAAAGGTTACAAATAACCTCCCCATATCCCAAATCACTGTGCTTTCCTCCTCAACATCAGGCTTGAGTCTCAAGGTAAATTCTGTACCTGGTCCATGGTCATGCTGACACGTCTAAACATCTGACACAGTGGAAGCAGAAGAAAGAATGTGAAGAATGAACTCGGGGAACTCACACTGCGCTATCATTTTTTTTCACCCACCTTCACATTTTCTGGTACTTCATTAGTTTACATGCCTCAGAGCAGAGCAAGATTTGATTAGTAACTGAATATTAATTCTCATTTCTGTGGCAACCTCCAAACATTAGCAAATTACACATCAACACACCTGTGAGTTTCTAACCTTTATTAAAAATAAGGACAAAAATAAAGCAGAGGAGAGGGGGGCAGACAAGCCTAACATCCATCTGGGGCTTTGGAGACATCATCCATCATACCAACACACAAGTTCCTCTCCCCACCACCTCCCACACACTGAGCTCTTAATTGGACAGGAGGGTGTAGTGCACTTCTAGCTTTGCTAGGTTTTCTGCTATTACACATGGGAAAGCTTACACATCCTTTCCCCACAGCTCCCAGGGATTCAGAAGGGAACACACCCCTCCTGTCTTTAAGGCAAATACAAGCTGCTTGCATAGAAGGATCGCAGCACCAGCTCTGCCTTGGGAAACTGGAGAGCAAGAGAAGGGGAAACAGGCAATGTTACACTTAACATCTGCCCAGAGTGAGGCAAGAAACTTCTCATGCCCTCTCACTCTATACGTAAGCCAAGCACTATCTAGATCTCTAAAACTGCTATTTCTTGATGACTGAGGTTTTGAAACATGCAACAAAACAGCCAGATAAATCTGACTGCTAATCCTCTTCATTAATAGCTATAAAGTAGCAGCAGCACGCCTGCAATACTTGCTGTTGTGGACGCTAAGAGACTGACAGACACCAGACACTTGCTACCCTTGCTTACTGACAGGATTAATAAGCTCTTCTCCCTACAACCAGTCCCTCTTGGCTTCAAGGTAAAGGTTAATTCTTCCCTCATCTTTTGGATCAGGCTCTTATCTCTGCTGCTGTTTAGACACTGCCAACTTGAACTCGCTCCTCCCCAAAGTTACAGTAAATGAAAGACACCAAGAAATAAGCTTGTAACACTTTCCCTCTAGAGGTAGGAGTTTCTCTTGCTAACTACGCGTATCTCAAAACAGTGAAATATGCATAGTTATTTCAATGAGAAAAAAAAAATAAATAGTGTATAAATAGGCATAGAAATTCAAAAGCAGTTGCTACATCTAAGTCACAAGTGGCTTATAAGCCCCCACATTTTACTACAGCATCCTGGCCTTTCTTAGTCAGTAGTGAGGTACAAGGCCCTACTTTGTTTTCACATCTGCTGCTCAGAAAGCCCCAGACAAAGCTAATACACTGGCCACAACACTGATGAAGTTGTGTTACATCTATATAAGTGTGTTTATATAATATATATATATAATGGTTTAACTCTTTAATAGGTGCAGAGACAGGAGATTGGAGCAGGAAGCAGTCCTTATCTGAAGTGTCAGCACTACCATCACTCTGGTTTCCCATACATGAATAGCCACAAATTTCCTACACATGAGGAACTCTATGTAGTTTGTCAGAAGATTTTGACATCCTT